TGTGTGTGTGTGTGTGTGTGTGTGTCATTCATATGTAGCACCATGTGTTAAGCAAACTCACTCCAGTTGGTTCGAATGCAATTCTCTCTCCGACTATTACGGATCGATAATTGAAGTTCCTGGGTGAAAAACGTTGACCAAACAATCTTATGTCAAGGTGTGTTATAAAACGCGGACTTCTGCTAACTGATTTATAATCTCTCGCCCAAAATAAGCAGGAAGAATTTTAACAGGACGGGAAACGGGCATCGAATCGAAACAACCTATGGCACACAGAGGCAGAGAAAGATGAACAGACTGACAGCGACTTAAAAAAGAAACAGGACAGCTTTTTTGGCTTCAAATAAGTGAAGTAGCAAGTGCCGAAAATCATGGGTGCTACTAGAGAATAATATACAAAGAAAGGAAGGAGGAGATAAAGGACGATAGATGTTTGATAGGAAAGAAGAAGCAAAACGCAATAGAGCACCCGCTAACCATAAAAAATTACAGCAAGTCATGGTGAGAGACAAGTAGGCAAATTTAAATAACAACAGACAGACAGACAATGAGTTGTGGATAGAGACTAGCCAGAAAGACAACGGTCATGTTTAGACAGGAACAGGTTGGTTAATTAGGAAGAAAGTTACAATGAAGACAAATAAGAGCACACCATACAATTTTAGAATAGCTTTAGTAAGAGTTTTACGGCACTCGCTACGCAAATAGGTCACATACTTGCCGAAGATTAAAGATGTTGCACATGGCACTCAACGGAAGGAAGAAGGAAAGATAAGGACGATAGATGCTTGATAGGAAAGAAGAAGCAAACTAACGAAAGTACCCGCCAACCACCAGAAGAACACAAACAGAAACCAAGTACATGCACACCGTAAACACGGTTATGTAATAACTTACCTTTTTCCGCTGAGGAGGTCTGTCTCCATCTGTGTCCGAATACAAGGTGCAGGTAGAACACGTTGACGTTTCCGAAGAGACGGAGGAGGCGGAGCTTGTACGTCGTAAGTCCTGATGAGGTGCTAGGAAATTGGGACTTCCAGAAGTACGGTTTCCATTGAAGGGGCTTTGGGGAGACAGGCTACGGAAGGAGGGGCTACTGCTGCCTGACGAGGTCGGAGCGATGGACTCGGTATCGCTGTCGCCCAATAGGAAGACGGGGCGGGACGGGACATCACGGAATTCAGGGTGGAGGAATTCATTGATCGGTTCGCTGTGATCACTGACGGTAAAGGCGGGTATGGGGGAGGTCACTTGTCCGTCTCCGTTCATGTCCAAAAGCAACTGTCGTTGCTGTTGCTGTTGTTGCTGCTGTTGCTGTTCCTGCTGCTGCTGCTGAGTAAGTTGAAGGAAATGACAATGGTGTTGATGATGTTGGGAAGATTCAATAGTTGTATCATGGTAGTGCTGGCTGTCGGTATTTTGAAGGTAATTTTGAGAGTTCACGTTATCGACATTTGAGGTCTGATATTCGGATTTCCGAATCTTTGGACTCATTATGAGCTGACGCGACGAATCTATAGGTCTGAAGTCGGAGGGCTCTAGTGCCTCCAGAGATATAACAGTCGGGTGGGAGGGGAGTTCATCGCTGGAAGAGTTGGTACGAAAAGATGAAAACGAAGTCTGCCAGTTGTGAATGGAACTCCTTTCAAGGCTGGACGGCAACGAAGAGAGTTGGTCTAGTGAGGTGAGTGACCTGCTTGAACGCTGGGCTTTCAAGGGTTCACCGATGAGGTCCAGGGAGTTGTTGCTTTCGTATTCTCGGCCAGGGAAACCATGCTGGAAGACTTTGTGTGACGCGCTAGAAGTGACGGTTTCCCCGTGCTGTCTGTGTGTAGGAGAGGTGGGAACAGACTTGGAGACGCCCACATGGAACCCGAGGGGGGTCCGATGTTGAGATAGAAGTGGGCTGCGGTTGTGATCAGATGAGTCGACCGCTATATTAGGGTTATGAAGTACAGAGGGCACGACGAAATCCGAGGGTGGACAATTGTCGTGTGTATGACTCGAGATATGGAGAGAAGGTGGTTTCGGTATTCCTACACGACCCAAAGGGAAAGGTGTTGAAGGGCGATTCCCTTGGGGAGAAATGTCAGAAGGTTTTGGTTGGAGTGGACATGGCACGTCAGAGGTTGACATATGAATAGCTGTGTTTGAAGGATCTGACGGGTTTACCGGGGAGGACAAAGCGAGGTCTGTTGTTTGAATCTTCTTCTGGTGAAGATGTGACAGTGAATCGAGATTGCTTACGTTTCGCCAATTTTGCAGCCTCTGAGAGCGTACAAGCTTTTGTTGGGATGGCAGTCGTTGTTGTTGTTGTTGTTGTTGTTGTTGTTGTTGTTGTTGTTGTTGTTGTTGTTGTTGTTGTTGTTGGCTATTGTGATGCAGAAAAACATCATTATGGTGGCGCAGCTGCTGATGCTTCAACAGCTGCGGTTGCTGTTGCTGCTGTTGTTCTGACGTTTTTTCAGATGTGGGAGGAGGGGTATAGAGTAATGGAAATCGAGGTTGGTGTTTTGCCAGGAACTCCACAAAGTCAAGGTCATGATCGTGGTCATCATCCGGGGGCCCCATGTCAACAGCTGAGTCCGCATTGCTGGACTTTGTGGAAAAGACGCTGCTTATGCTGCCGATACTACTGCGCGGGGATAAAGGGAGCTTGGACAAAATCTGCTGTGGGTCGTCTAACGGGCCGAGAGTTCTAGAGCCTGCACCACCCTGTTGTCGCCACGACGGTGTACGACTGACCGCAAGGAAATCCAGGTCGCCGGAATGTCCCGCTGATGAAAGAGACGGGGTGTCCACAGCGGGGTCCTGGTGAGAGCAACCTGCGGTCAGATCGCCACTGCTTTCATCTGACCATGAGGGTGGACGAGGCGACGACTCGTTATTCTCGTCTTCTCCAGTGACGCAAATTGTAATCCCTGAATGCGGCATAGCATCCTTTGCTCCATCGTCTCCTCGATCCGCCTTAGCTGCATGTGCATGAACTTCGGTGATTTGCGAAGTTGACTCGGTATTCGAAGCTTGACCACGGCTGAGGTGCAGATGTGAGCATAGCTGGTCTTTGTGGGAGGAGCAGCAGTAAGGACAACAAACATCACTCGATCTCGGAGGCAAATGCGAAACTGCAGCTTCTAAAACTCGATCGTTTTTCGCATTATAACCAGCCACTGAGGCGTCAGATTGGTGTTGCATTTCTTCATGTTCTGAATCGGAGCGGAGAAGACTTATGTCTGTGTTTATTCCCATGGATGACCAGCGCCTTTGAGAGGATTTAATGGACAGTCTAAAGTCATCATTATCATCGCAAGTTGACGACTGCGTGCTTTTAAATGAAACAGAGGTATCATCCATGGGATAAGACAGGGGACAAGTGCTACACCCGGCCTCTGACCTCTGCCCTGTGACGTGTTCGTTGTCGTCTGGAAACGCCCAGTCCCTCTCTGCCGACTGCTGCTCTCGCTGTAGCCTCATCACGGACTTCAGCCACTCGTCAAGTCTCGGTTTGGTATCTGCAGGTAAATGAGGCACCGACCGTGCAGATCGGATCACGTGGATCTTTCGGCCCCCTTGCCTCCCAGATTTCTTATCCTTTTGCGACACGCTGCTCAGGTTAATACTCGCCGTCGACCTTTTCTTGGCAAAGAGCAGCGAATCGCTGGTAAGTGGCGCCGCGGATGAATGGTCAGCCGGCTCTGACACGGGGCTCGGGCACACGGCCACACTAGAGCTACGAGACGGGGAGTCCCAGTCCGGGTTGGTGGTGGAGCTGGCGCAGTCCGAGAAGCAGCCCGGCGAGGTGCTCCGGCTGAGGAAGTGCTCGCCCCCAGAACCCTCGGAGTGACACTCGGTCGCCCGGAGCCGCCACGAAGACTGGTGCTGCTGGCTGGGAGCTTCGCGGTCACAGAGCACGACGTCGTTGTCGTTGTTGTTGTTGCTGCTGCTGTTGTTGCTGATGCTATTGTTGCTGCTGCTGCTGTGGCTGTTGCTGCTGTTGTTGTTGTTATGAGGAAGAGATTCAAATTGCACCGGGGAGGAGGCAGACGACTCAAAACAAGGAAAGACCACCTCGCTAGGTCTGCTTCTGTGACTGCTGCCCTCTGTGACGTCACACTGACGAGAGTGGACATGATCTGACGACGAAAAAGAAGGAGGAAGTCTTGCACGCTGGTTTGTGAACGATGGGGCGGAAAGATCACAGTGGAGATTTGATGACGTCGTTGAAGACGCCGCGACGGACGGTGACGGCGACGGTAACGGTGACGGTGATGGTGACGGTGACAGGGACAGCGATGGTGACGGTGGGGGTGTTCTCGGTAAAGGCAGAGATGGGAGTATTGGAATTGATTGCAACGAAGACGGCCACTGAGACAGGCGCAGTTCTGGGGAGGAAGAAGTTTCTACGGGATCAGAAGGAGAAATTTTATTTTGGCGTGCTACAAGTGAAGGACGGTGTTTACCGCTCTGTGAGCTAAATGTTGCTGGATAATTTGATGGCACCGAAACAATGACTTTGGGAGTAGTTGTGCGGGATGGGGGCGACGAGATGTGTGTTGCTGAAGAAGAAACAATGGCGACAGGAGCACGTTTTGACGTTGATCCTGACGTTGAAGAAGGCGTGGTAGGAAGGGGCGTGGCAGGAAGGGGCGGGGCGGAGATTGAAGATGAAGCATGGGTCAAAGTGCGTGCTACGAGAACTGTTGACGACGCTGGATAGTTGAACGACGAGGCGACAGGGGAAGAAGGTGGAGACAAGAGAGGCCTAAAAGAAGAAGGTAATTCCGTTGCTATGTCGGACACAGCATCAATGTGTTGCTCACGACGCCGTGTGGCGAGCTGTAAGAACGAACTCGTGGAATCGGAAGAATCGGAGCCGAACCGGCGTCTGAATGGAGCGGCACTGGACGAGCTGGGACGGGTGGCATAAAGGACTTGAGGGCTGGCATCTTCGACAGGCAGTACACGACCAAAAGAATGACTCGAAGCATTTCCGATTGGGGAAGCAACGACAGCACTCTTGCTATTATGACTACCACCCTTTCTTTCATCACCGGCAGGCTTACTAGCTCTACTTGAATCATCCACATGTCGGCCCCTGACCTCCGACGAAGCTGAAGGAATCTTCGAGGGAAAGGAACTGGACCCATGACGATGATGCGCAGCTGCAGATTTAACGCCCCTGCCCGCGATAACAGGACCGGCAATTCTCCCAGGCCGCGGGGAAGGAGCTCGGGTGGGGTGGTGTGGCGCCCGGGTTCGACACTCGTTGTCACTTGCCTGTACTGCAGCCGCATTCTCTCCCTGCCTGCTCCGCTCAAAGAACAGTAGCTTCTGGTAGAACGCCGTGCTGCTGCAGTTTCCTGTTGACCTGGATCGGACTCGCTGACTGCGGCAGTTTGGAAAAAACGGCTCGTTAGGGTCATCATTTCCGTCTGGAGACTTGCTAGTCTCCGCCATCACTGGTCTGTGGACACAAGGACACGACAGTTAGGAATATGTAGATCCTTTTAGTGAACTTTTGTAGGAGGTCAGTGATCATGGTGGGCCATTGATGACATTTCTGTTTCTGTTGTTATTGTTGTTGTTGCTCCTGTTGTTGTTTTTGTTTTTGTTTTTGTTGTTGTTATTGTTATTGTTGCTGTTGTTGTAGTTTTTATTGTTGTTGTTCTTTTTGTTGTTGTTTTGGTTGCTGCTGCTGTTGTCCTTGCCGTTGCTACAATTGCTGTGAATACCTCTGATTGAGTCTACGGGAGAAACTGACAAATCCGTCCTATAACTTTGGTATAGTTCGAGTAACGAGAAGCATGGGACACAATAACAGTCACATACTTCTTAGATAACACAAGATGAACAGACAGATAAAATACAGGAATAGTTAAGAAATTGAAACTACCAATGGTGTCGCCCCCTTCCCCCCGCTCTAAACCAACAACTTCCAGAAATTTAACGTAACAATCGACATCACAATAATGCTTCGAAGCAACATACCCGGTCCTGAAACTATCAGTGACGTCGCCCCCCCCCCTCTCCGACCCCCCCAAAAACTCAACAAAACAACCATCAGCATCGAGAAATTTAACTACAATTGACATCAGAATAATACATAAAGCAACACATCCGATCCTGAAGGAGCTGAGACGTCTGTTTTTCCAGCAACTGTCGGCATACCAATCAATAAATCTATTGGGTCATTTCATTCATCCATCGGCTAAAAAATTTCAAACACTCTTTCATCTATCAATCAATTCATTCATCATTAATTTCCCCCACCGTTCGCTCATCTAACAACCCTTTAATCAGTCCAACCGTCCACCCGTAAATCGGCCCATAAAGCATTAATTCATGTAAAACATGTAGCCACTTGTCCGCTCATAACGTACCTTGTTCATGCGCATTTCCCATTTCACTGCGAGACAGCTACGTAATAATTTATTGCAAATATAGAACTCACTGTTGAAAATAATCAGGAAAAAGACAAATGCAGTTTTTTGGGGGATACCTGAATAGACAACAAGGTCTTGAAAATCTAGCTCTCACTGGCAAAATTGAAAGCAAACGAGGCAGGGGAGGGCCAAGAGCAACCTACTTGGAGAACCTAAACAAACGGGTAAAGGGAAAGATCAGAGTAATGTAGCTGTTTTAAGAGCATCGGACCGAATGACTGAATTGAGAGCCATGATCGTCGATGTCTGTATCAGATCTGGCACTCGATGATGATGAAAGAACTCCTTTCTGCAAGCAGTGTGGGGAAAGCACGGTCGATTCCTGAAGAGCACATTCGTGTCAAGGGGCTCTCGTCATCTAGATGTACGGTGTTCGCATCTCATTCAATAGGTCTCGGGCTCGAAACCCAAATGCGACGGTAAAATGTTCTTCTTTTACATTTTCTCCTTTCACCTCCTGTCCTGATTTGTAACCATGTTCTGTCACCTGCTTTCGTCTCCACTTTCTGCCCCTCCCCTTTTGTCCCTTTCCTCTAGGCTCCTGACTCTTTCAGCAGCCTTTCTACTGCCACTCCTAGCCTCTTTCTTACTGCTGTCTTTCAGCCACACCCTTGATCTTATGGTAGGTAAGATTGAACACCTAGTCTTCTCGGATAGGGGCAAAAAAATCTCAGAGGTCCCATATGCACGTTAAGCACGATAAAGATCTCTTGGTGGTCCTGAAATCGTTAAGAGTAGGCTTCGGCCCCCACCCGACAAAATTTCAAAATTAATTCCTACCAAACTGAAAATGTTTAATGTGTCCCGCGCACTCATATTATGACCTTATGCAGTTGTAAGCGCCGTGAAACACTTACCAAAAAAAAAAAAAAAAAAAGATAAAGAGCTACCTTCCTCCAGCAAGCAGTGAGGACAAAACACGGTCGATTCCTGGAGACGGCATCCGCGTCACCACAGAGGAAGGAAGAGAGATACAAACAAGGGAGGCAAGTCCACTTTGTGTCAAACCATCAGTGGGATTTGCTCCAAGAGCGACAGGGAGGAAGAGAGGAGGGGGGGGGGGGTCGCGAATTGAAAGAAAGATAGACAGGTGGGAGAGAAAAAAGAAAGAAACAAAAAAGAGATAGACATGTCGAAAGAAAAAGAAAGAAAGAAAGATAGAAAGAAAGAAAGAAAGAAAGAAAGAAAGAAAGAAAGAAAGAAAGAAAGAAAGAAAGAAAGAAAGAAAGAAAGAAGGTTGTCTCAAGGTCTTTAAGTTGTTGTTTTTTCTGAACGTATTGGTGGGTAAAACAAACGTGCAGATTAAAATCTGTCTTTTTGACGATGAAATTGAAATACTAACTAAACGTTCTGCGGTGGTGCGCTTTGCTCCTTTTTCCTAGGAAACATCCATGGCCATCATTTCCATCCGCCTTTTTTGTGTGGTTTTTCCCCCTCTTATGTAATAACTCTAATCTTCGGCACTTATATGACCTTATTGAGTTGCATGTTTTGTAAAACTCTTATTAAAATGTGTTTTTAAGAAATTAAAAACGTGCTGCAACAAAACAGGGAATAGGCCACCGACTTGTAAGAGTTGACGGTGGCTAAAACGACCTGATGAAACGTACGAGCTATTCCAGTAATAACAGCTCGTCTTTCAATGTCGGGCGATGATCAATAAATCTGCAGAGGAGAATATTTCTATAGCGAAAAAAGAAAGCATTTTAAAAATTAAAGGTCACGGTGACTTGTGGCTTGAATTGAAGGGGAAAAGAACTGGCACCCCCACCGTAAAACAATGACGGACTTCACGTGTACGCTGTTAGTTCAGTTGGCGTCATGCTTTGGAATAGTGCAGGTGACTCTCGTTCGAATCCCCCAAGGACTGTTTGTGAACTTGGATTGTTTGGAGAATCTCATGGCTCCCTGAAATTGATGTACAGAAATATGGGAAGACACGGTATACCATCAACAGGCTAGTCCAGGATAAGGAAAGGTGGAAAGTGTTTGTTCGAGGCCTTTACCCTGATCCAGGGAGAGAAGGGCAATGATGATGATGAAGGGCTCTCCGCCTACTTGGCTCTGTATTGGAAATGGATCGATCCTTTAAGGATGTCTCAGATACTAAGTTCACCCACCGTGCCATAATTATATCTGATCAGCAGCAGACCAAAGACAAAGCTGCTGAACATTTCACACCATCACACACAAATCAGCAGTACGAAATTGTTTGGGGGGGG